TTAGACATGATTTAAAGTTTGAACGTTATTTAAAAAGGTTTTAGAAGTCGTACTATACGGTGTACGTACATTATTATAATCTAAAAGTTTAACTCAAGAATTGAGGAGTTAGACAGAACATTTTATATTCTCTATCACCCTCAGTCGACGAGCAAATGAGTATGGACAATAACCTACTGTGAAGGTATTCCAGCTTATATTATGATATATATATGTTTCACACACATACTATATAGTATATATATACTAGCGGTAGAGGTACGTCATGATTGTCGTTCGTCGATATGGTATTATTGTAATCGTACGGTATACCTTTTGTTGTCGAGCAGTGAGCGAGTACTCATACAATGCGTAAAAAAAAGATAATCATAATAAGGATGAAAAGACAAAAAGGAAAATCTGACGACGCATACCTGCAGGCTACAGTCGAGTACAGTTCTGTGCTGTTGCCTATTAGGTTCAAAACGTGGACGATCGGAGTAACAAGAATCTCTGTTTGGTGGCCCTGGATAATATTTTTATTATTACAATAATAACTACCTGTACACATACCTAATATTATTATTGTACACGATAACATACAACAGGCGAGGAGTGTGGACATGGGCGGGCGGCGAACCCGAGGTTGAGAATAATAATATTCGTGTTTTAACTGGAATCCGTTAAGAAACGAAAACCACCTGTATGCGCGCGATCGTTTCGGCTGTACGTGTAGGTCGAGTTGGAGATAAAAAAAAACTAGGTAGGAGGTACGCACCGCCGACAATATTTATCCCACCATGGTCTACCACTACTCTCGGTGTCTCGTCTCTTTTCTCCGCTCAATAGTTTTTGTTTATTATTTTCTCTGTCGTAAATAATTATTGTCTTAATGCGGTGTTCTGAATTGCAAACGACAGTCAGTATATCAATGGTACGCACCGTCGTCCGTAAGCACGTTCTTACCAGACTATTATTGTCTGTTCACAGATCTGATCACAGTTCACCAATATTTTGTGTATTTTAAAATTTTTCAAACAATATTAATTCATACCGGTTATTTAATTATAATAACCAAGAATCGATTGACTAATAAATCGTGTACATCATAATATTATCCATTATATTCTTTCGCATTCTTGATCCGAGGACGGTGTTACAACAATAGTAATAATAATATTATACCCAGGAACATCATCAAATTTGCGATATTGTCACACGTAAATCGGCATTGGTCATCGGCGAGGAGGTACACGCATCAGGTTTAATAATAATATTATACACTGTCGGTTGTTGTTCGTAATGCGCGTGCGCGCGTAGTGTGCACGCCCGTCAACGGAACGCGCAGTGTTGTGAGTCGTCGCCGGCAACTGTTGTCCGTTGTTTTCGAGCAGTGTGTGCCGCGTACGTGTACGTAATAGGTGCGAGACACGTCTTCGACAAGTATTCTGTCGTCCGCTGCTAACGGAATTCGGAGAGAGTCGTTAACGGGTAATGTTTGTATATTATAATATTATTATATTAAATTCGTTCATCCCTGACGTTTGATTTTACTATTTTGTTGTTACTGATGAGTAGATTTTCATATCGATATTATTGTTATACACTTTTATAAACTAAAGCAAGCCGCGAGCGTATTCATTTTTTAGATTCCTCTCCCCTCTCGTCCACACGACCCCACCCTGCTACGCTCGCGTTATTTACCCTTTACAATTAATATCTATATTGACAGGATTTTTAAAAATTTATTTCAACCGATAAAATACAGTTTAGTTAATATTATATTGTGTTGCAGAAACAATAACAGTGGCGCCTAGAATATTAGTGATTCAGTCGAATATTATAATATCATTGTTGCCATTGTATTTGCCTCTGTACGATCCACGACAGATCGCCTTTCCGTTTGAGATTTATGCAATTCCCTTTGCTGTGAAACTCTATTGAGTAGTTGAATGGTGACATGGTGTTACACTTACGCATATTGTATTCAATCGATGCTATATCAATTGTATAACATCGCTTCGAACAACGTTAAAATCTCTACAAAACCACGTACGCGACCTACCTAGAGCCTATTGGCTAACGCCTACAAGGCTACAACGAAAGTAGGTATGCACTATGCAAATGAGTCGTATATAATGTTATAAATAATAATTTTACCCTATCTAAAAGTAAATAGATATTTGTAAGCTGCTATAGGTACTTCAGTATATCGCATAGGTATATGCATATATAATAATATATTGTATATTATACATTCTATAATTTATTATTATTCAATAGATATTTAATTGCTTTGTCAGAATAATTATATAAACATTGTTATGATAGGGACAAGTTTAGTCGAAGATAATATCATGTAGGATTTGATTTACAGGAGCTTAACTGCCACGCTACAGCACAGAGAATAGTCAGGGATACACTTTTATAATTTTTTAATTAAACATTCTTAACTTTTAACCGCGTATTTAAACTAAGTTAGTGTGATTAACTTGTAAGTTAAAAAAAATATGGCATTAATACCGCAAAATGTTTCGTACGCAGCTTAATATACTATACCTACATAACAAGTGATTATATTATTTCTGTAGATTGCAGTGTTTGGTGCACACCTGTTCGTCATCAGCTCCTCCTTCGTTACTATACCTACTATTATTTATGTTGTAAACTTGTAGACGATTTCTGGTTTTGTTTACGTCGAGAATCATCGTCGTTACAATGTGTGAAGTGTGCCTCTCTAGTCTCTTTCAGAGCTAGTGCTTGCTTACTCTTTGACTAGGTGCGGTAGGGCAAGACATCACCATGTCCGTTTTCCAGTGGTTTTTTTTACGGGAAACCTAAAAAAACAACGTATCGTCCATCTGCATCTCGTATTATCGTTGTTGTTACAGCCTTAAGAAGACCTCGTATCCACATGTGTCAACTACGTCTAACTAACGCATAAGTGCTTGTAAYAAATCAAAAATCACTGCTATGCGTGAAAAATAGATTCCTATAATTTATATATTATTGATTGTAATGGTATTTTATTTTTTAACCACCAATATGAAAAATAATACAAATTTGTTTTGTATTTTGGTAATAATAATTATTATAAACATCATAAAGATAGATTACGTATTAAGTATTTAAGTATAGTACTTATATTAAACTAAAATTGTTGTATAATAATATTCGGCGAGATTGACAACTTAAAAGTTACAATGAACATTCAAGGGCCAATTTTTATAATTTATAGACGAATAGTAAATTTTAGATGTTTTAAACGTTTCTATTATCCAATGTTTTCTATATTATGTGAAGAGTCGACCATCATTATGTTTATATTCAACTGCCCCGTATCAACAATTTTAAAGGCTGTGCATATTTAATAGAGTTATTAATTAATGGTTATTATTTTATCAATGTCGTATTGTTAACAGGTCACTCTATATTATTACATAGTGTTGCGAGTATCGTCGTCGTGTCCTCAATAATTGTCCTTGTTTTTTTTTTTTTCACGAATTAATTCTGTTTTTCATATTAATTTAAATACAGACGTCTCATTCTGCAATCTGCATTCAATCGTATCAATGTGGTTTAAAATATAGTGAAGCGATTGATATATTTATTATTATGACGTGTATATTGTAGCCACAGTTAGAATTTTTCTTTTATCACAATGTTTTACAAATATCCGCAAAATTGTCACGAACTTGCATTTTATTTTTCTCCCCACTTGTTTTTCGGACCGAAATTAACTCATCGGAAACCGTATTGTTTTGTTCCTTATGGGTGTGTCGTTTATTTAATAATATATTAATGTAGAGATCGTCCAACGTTATGACTTACAATATGCACATAACAATAATATAAATTAATTTTACTTGCTGACTTGCTCGTTAGCACCCACTCGTATCATTAGCCATTAGTGCTATACAACGCTTACAATGTCTTTTATCAGATTCATTGCTAATATTCTAAAGATAAATTATATAATATTCTAGTCTGGACAAATAATATGAAACTGAAGGCCAATTTAACCAATACAAATAATTATACTGCTTAATAGATATAGAAATTTGAATCTAGGAAAAAAAGCCACGGACAAAATTCAACTTATTTCTAAAAAATAATTGTAATAATAGTGTTTGCAATTATATTATTATTTACAAAATAGGTAGTAAGAATTAAAAGTATTCTATAGTAATTAATTTTATTCATTTATCAATGAGTATTTCTAATTAGTTATTTTTTATTTTCAATCATCCTTACTAGTGTAATAAATATTGAAACATTATAAAAAAAAATCTAGTTTTGAACTATTAGTTAGGTTAGTTAATTACTACAGAAAAACTTTGACGTATTGATAGCATATACTTTGGCATCTTGTTTTTCAATTAATATCTCGATTAATATCGATAAATAATAATAGTAATAGGTATAGTTAGTCAGTTAGATAATTGTTTGAAAACGATTTCATACGATAAATGTCGTTTTTAGCTATACATTATACTTGGTAGTTCTACTTGCCTATGGTTATTATCCCAATATGTTATGACTTATGACTATGAGTTACGTCTCATGTAGGTATAGTATGAATATATAGTCATGCACTCATGCGTGCAATACTGACTATGCACGGTATGCTTGTATAGCATTATATACGCATAACGCATATAGTTTACTTACAATTTTTGAGCTGTTGTGCTATTTAATTTAATTGAAATACCTTCGTTGATATAATACAAAATTTACCGTCGAAAATTTCTTTCATATGTTTTGTGGACGTATACCACGATATCACCATGGAAACTAAAGCCATTGTATAATTGATAATTTTCTTTAAGGACAATGTATAACTACTACTACAGAAGTCTATATAGTTGTACATACAACTATTAAAAATATTACTTATCTATATTCTCTCTTCATATTATTTCATCATTATTAAAATATAATTTATAAAACATAATTATTATTATTACTTACACTTTAAAACTATGTGGAAAATTAATTTCATTAGTCGTTTTGTTGTGCAGGTTCAAAACTCTTTGGAGGAGTACGAAACGTGTGCACCAGAAGCCAATAACTCTAAGCAAACCTTAATTGATTTGTGTCATCACTGTACGTCGTCACAACATCCAGTGGCCAAAGATTTACTCTCAATAATTACCAAATTACATTTTAAGGTCAGTTTTAACTATCAAAAAAATTTATAATATTGATCTTTTTTAATCTCAAATGTTATGTTTAGACCCTTTTAGAAGTACATGATAAAATAGCGTTAAAGAGACTGAAGAAAGCATTAGATACCTCTGATTTACCTCCAACTCCCCCCTCACCACCACAACAACAGAACGGAACCAAAATGTCTACACAAACGTACAAAGTAATTGGATTGCGAAAAAAACCAGATGAACCATTGGTGAGTGCCTGAGTGTTATGTCACCTATTCGTAATTCTTTTACCAAGTTAGGTTTAGTTACGTTAACAAATTCAGCCAGGCACATAGCTAAAGGATTGCTTAAGGTGGCCCGGCCTAAACACTTTTCCGAAAAGCTAGGGGGAAAATGCCTATATGCCTGTAATATTTGCTGTGTTAACGTAGGGCACAATATATCTAAATCAGTTATTGTATTCGTATGAATTCGTATTCCTATATTAGCAATTCAGCATTTTCCATTAACTTGTAATATTTAAAGTGACAATATTGTGTCTGTTTCTGTGTTATATTTTTCTTTGTCTATAAGGMTATCCCACCCCAATTAAAATCTATGGACTTTTGACTTAGTCAAAAATCGTAATTTGTGTATAGTGTAATATTAGTAGGTATTCAAGTTATTATTTATAGTTTGTGGGAAGTAAATAATGTTGGTAATAATCACTAGGCCTTAATTGTGCTATCCTAGCTACATGCCTGAATTCAGTATTCATAGAGCCAAAAATTTAATTTTATTCACTTGATCTCAAATTTAAAGATATAATTTTTTGATATTTATTTATTAATGGCTTAAAATATATTATTTATACTTGTTCACTTCATGACAAATTTTATAAATAAGAAGGTTTTTAGAATAAGAAATTCAATCTATTCTCTTTGTTATATACCACATTTAAATGAAAATATTGCATATTTTAGCTACATTTAAACTAAATAATAGATTGATAAGGTCTAATACTTACGTAATTCACAAGCCCACAATTTTGATTTTATATGACGCATTCAATTTTATGTAATTATGACTGAACAAAATTAAAATTAGTGTCTCATTACTTCTTAGTTATAAAATTATAAATACAAATAAAAACAGTGTTTATATTTTATACAGTATTTGCATAGGTTAAATAAAAATATATATAAAATGCAAATATCTTTTATACAGGGCTTAACTGTTGAACAAGACGAAAATGGAAACCTTATAGTGGCAAGAATATTAGCTGGAGGAACCATTGATAAACAAGGGTTATTGAAAAAAGGAGATGTCATACTAGAAGTAAATGGCGAAAGAGTTGAAAGTCCTGAAGATTTATTGAACGAAGTTAGTCGTAGCAAAGATACGTTGCAGTTTCGAATTGCTCCTGGATTTTCCCAAAAGAATACAATTCAAACCCAACAAGTATGCTTAAAAACAATTAACATTTGTTCATATTAACTACTAATTTTAATTTTGTTTTTATTTAATTGTAGTGTTATATGCGAGCATTATTTGATTATAACCCATTGGAAGACAATTTAATTCCTTGCAAAGAAATTGGTCTAACATTTAAACATGGAGACATTCTTCAGGTTAGTTTATGTATAGTGTGTTTATAAAATCTGTTTATTTTTATTGTAATAAAATAGTATTAATTATATTATGATATTATATAACAAAATCATAAATATGTACTAGTTATTGTTAGGGAACTAAATGGTTAATATGGTATATTTTTATGCGTAAATATAGGTTTTGGATCAAAAAGATCCCAACTGGTGGCAAGCAAAGAAAGTGGGTGATAATGAACTTCCCGGGTTAATACCATCTCAAGAATTGGAGGAAAGAAGAAAAGCTTTTGTAGCACCAGAAGCAGACTATGTTCATAAAACTAGTATTTGTGGAACTAGGGTAATCTATTAAATATAATTATTTTTTATATTTGAATTTTAATGTTATGGATAAAGTATAAATTATAGACCATAACTATAAATGATCTTATAAAGTTGTTATTTTATATCATAAGTTATATTTAAATGTTTATTCTTAAAATAATATTGAAAAATTTACTTTAGATTTCTAAAAAAAAGTGTAAAAAAATGTATCAATCAAAATGGAATGGTGAATTTGATAAAGCAGAATTATTACTGTACGAAGAAGTTACAAAAATGCCTCCTTTTAAGAGACGTACACTTGCAATAATCGGTACAACCGGTGTGGGAAGACGTACACTCAAAGGTCGTCTGATAAACAGCGATCCTCAAAGATTTGCAGGAGTTATACCATGTAAATACAGTTTTAAAATAGATTAATCTTTATACTATAATTTGACGTCATTAAGGTTTAGAAGTTATTCAAATTATTTCATACAATTTGTATATAATTTTTTGAATTATATTTTTAGACACAACACGACCACAAAGAGAATTAGAAGAAAATGGTCAAAATTATTGGTTTATTGATCGTGATCAAATGGAACATGATATTCGAGAACATAAGTTTTTGGAATACGGTGAAAATGGTGGCAATTTATACGGCACAAATTTGGATTCCATTCGTGACGTTATTAATCAAGGAAAAATGTGTGTCTTGGACTGCAGTCCAGTGGTATGTACAATATATGTTCTTGGTTTATTTGTTTTTAATTAAAATTCATCAAATTCAATTGTTATATTTATGTTAATTGTCATTGAAACTATGTTTTAGGCTTTAAAAATGCTTCACAATTCTTCAGAATTCATGCCATATGTAATTTTCATAGCAGCACCTGGTGTTGAGGTGATGAAAAGCCTATATGATTATTCCAGAAACCTTGGTTATTCTACTCGTACATTAACAGTAAGTAAAAAGTTTGTTAGTAAATCTAAAAAGTGATATACCTTTTCTCACATCTAGCTGTAGTTTGATGTAGTGTTAACTCATGTGATTATATTAATAATATAGTACAATATATTATTTTTATTATATTGATTTAGTTTGATCGCCAAAGTTCCATTAGATACAGTTCTAGAAGAGCCCGTACATTAGAATCACTTGCGTCAATTTATGAGGTAATTATTATTTAAATAAATAAATGACTAGAACTAAACTAGACTGCGAGAATAATTTTATTATTTCAAGTTAGACTGATCTTATTTTAATTAACTTGATTTAATGTTTTATCCTTTAGTAGCTGTACTAATCTACTACACTATTCCATGGTTAAGTTTTAAATTAACCGTATTACATTTAGTGTAATACTAGTATACTACCTTGTGATTTAAAATTAACCATTAAAGATGATTGGTTGTAAATCATAATAATACAATTAGTTGAATACAGATAGTAATAATAGTGGTAGTACCTATTATTGTTTATATTTTCTGAAATTCATTTGAGTATAATATATTTTGGATTATCTTAACAACCAAACCATAAGTTATAATTATTTCTATAGACTTAGTTTATTCAGTATATGGTACAYTGACACTTCTATTCTGCCCAAAACTTTTGAGCATTTTTACATTTATGTATTACAATATTTTAGTATATTTGTAAGCATTAATACATTTTCAACTAAATTTCAAACTTTTAAGATGGTAAAATAATCAAATAATCAAAAAACTTTTTATCTAATAAATATTGGTTAATATTAGTTTATTTATGGATTGTATTTTTATTTATTAACCAAAACTTGTTAATTTTGATARTAAATAATTTAAATCATAGATTAATATTGATGATTAATTGTGTAGGTACTATAATTTAATATATTGAATATTGAAACATATTTTGTTTTATTATTGGCTAAAATTTAGCATATATATTATATTATCATTGAATAATTATAAAACTTATTACAAGTTAATATTTTACCAATTATTGTCCATATGGTTGAAAAAAATACTTAAATAATAAAATATTTAAAACAAACTTACTGAACAAAATAATAAATATTTAGTTCATAAAAACATTTAGTAAATATATTATGAACCTTTTTAAAATTTAATTAAAATGTTATAGGAAGATGACGTAAAGAAATCATTGGAAGAAAGTGCATGTTTACAACGTATGTACGAAAAGTACATAGACCTAGTTATAGTTAATGAAGATTTTGATATGACATTTCGTAAAGTTGTTGAAGCCTTGGAAATTATATCTAATGAACATCAGTGGGTGCCCGTGAATTGGGTTTATTAAAATAAAAAGTGTTTTATCCTTGTTATTTTTAAACAAATTGATAGAATACATTTAAGATGTAAAACCTTTATCACAAAATACTATACAATCATATTAAATTAAACTAAAGATTGTAATAGGATCGTTTTATGTTAATTTAGTTTATATTATTAACTAAGCATAAAATTGAATTTATGAATTAATTTGTTTACTTGGTTGTTGTTAAGTTCCTGCAACTAATCAAAAAATTGATTATGACTGTGAAGATATATTCCGTCCTTTTTAATTATTATAATATTAACATTTTTTTTTTTTTTTTGTAATAATGGCAATATTTATAATAATACACAATGCTTTTTATTTTATTATATAAAATTCACTTTTGTGAAATTGTTATACTAAATACATTTACAACTTATTAAGAATTATATAGAATATATATATTTTAAATTGTCTACAGAATATCAATTGAGTTTGATTTAAAAACGGTTTATATTTTAAAATGCAATTTTTTTTTTAATACCTTGGGTTTTGTTATATAAAATAAAACTACTAAACAAATTGATATTCACTCAGAACTACCAAGTTCTTTCTAATCGGAGATAGAGTATAGTGTGCTTTACAGGTTAAGGAGTTTGGTGTGGGATTGGTTAAGTTAAATAAAAACTAACCCAAGATACTCTTACATTTCTGAATTCAGTTTGTAATTTTTTTATAGTTTAAACATACCTTTTTCAAATTGTATCATTGATAACCAGTAGATTTTAATATGAACTAAAAATAAACAGTTGATAACCTGTTAGATATTTACTAGAGAAGAATAAAATTTTAAAATTTTAAATTTCAAACCAAACCGTGTTGATACTATTTTTTATTTAAGAATTAATTATTTTACCAATAGATTTATTGATTTTTTTCTTGTAAGTTGTAAAAGTTAAAAAAGTTTTTTGTGAAAGAAAATATGAGAACTGAATATTGTGTTCATTATTTATTAAAAAGTTTAATAACTAATTATATTTTTATATTTTATTGTTATAATAGTTAGTATGTAACAATCAGTTTTATTTGTTAATTAAATAATTTTTCTACATTAATAAATGCACAAATACACTTTGAAAATTTGCCATTTTATTCAGCTTTGCACTATTACTATTTTTTATTGAGTGCTATGAATATAACATGAACATCTGTACTATTTTTCACGAACATAATATTTTACTCATAAATTCACATACAATAAACATATTTAAATGGTATACAAACATTGAGCGATCTTTATGTGTAGTTATAAAATTTAAATATATTTATACATGTACATTGGACATTATCATCACTGACTTAATATGTTATTATATTGTACACTTTAGTTTTACGACATATCATACCATTATAAGTATTATGACATATGTAGGTAATAATTGCAACCATAAGGTATGCCTACCTATTAATGTTTATGKTTTCATATCCTTTTAGTCTATAGATTGTTAGAAAATTATATTATAACAAATTTAATTAGTTAATTATATTTTGTAATATGTACATCCCGTCCAACATTGTAATATTTTACTTTTAGTAGACATGTTTTATACATCATTCATTTTTTCAAAAAATTGATTTACTCGTATTATTTAATTGTTTTTTTCTGTATAAATATGTATTTTGAAAAATATACTAGGTTATAACACTTATGTATTGTCTATTTTGTTTATTGTTTATTCTAATATACTTTAAGTGTCAATTGCTGCGAGCTTCATAGTACTTGATTGAGTAAAAATATTGAATAAATTCTTATTAAAGTAAATAAATACCATACTAGCATATCTAAACAGTAAAATAGTTGCCACATTAGGCATTAAATAAAATATTCTGAGTATAAAGTAATTCCAAGTTGTACATTATTCTATAATATTGCTATTAAACAGATTATTTTTTGTATTGGGATGAAGCTGCTCAAACTATGATACCAAATATTTGACTCCGTGAACTTTGCAGAGGACTTTTGCATGTGCTAACGGCGACTGATAGAGATCACATACACACGTTTAGTGCTTGCCAAAGGCTTATTTCAAATTATATCAAAACCCCTGTAATGTTTTTTGTCACTTTCATAATAGCATCAAGCATGATTACAATTTATAGATCTATTACAATAATGTTTGCAGACTGTTGCATTTTTGTTTAAAATTTTAGTATTAGTGCTTAATTGCAACATTTAATAAAATATGTACCAAATTAGAATCATTTGTTAAACAATATATTATATCAGATGTAACACAAATTATATAATAAAATAAATCACTTATTTAAATAAAATTGTTTGCTAATCTTTGTAAAGTTATTAGCATTCTTTGAATGGGTTGTCGGTTTTCGGAATCTTCTCAAATAATATGTCATATAACATTTTAGATTCTGATCGGAGCGAGGAATGTATTGATTTAACCATGATGTGTTTTTTTTTTAAATTTGTTTTTTTTTTGTGTCTGTCATCACGTTTTGGGCCAGTAAAAGTGCTTCAATTTTCGACTTCAGTACCTACCTCGTTCGATCAGAAAGTGAATCTAGTTGTCAAGAATTATTATATGAGATTGTTACCGCTAACATGGTCCATGCGGACATGCGGTGCTATATAAACATGACGGCGCCGTGTATGGACAATAGAAAATGTACGAAAAGCTATCCAAAAAATTGTATAAATGATACAATCACCAATATCAATTGTTATCCATTGTATCGTCGTAGAGACACTGACCACCGTCAATCACATCAATTAACATGGCAATGGGAATAAAAAAAAATGTTTATCACGACTCATCGTCTGCAGAAATATTCGACACCGAGCTGCAAACAGAAGTCCAATCTCCAAACCACTCGGTCGATTACAAATCGTCAGGATCGGCGTTAAGGTCGCAGAACGGTTGAAACCAGCGACGGCAGCCGCAGCGGTCAATGCCGTTTTTGTTGTCCGGACGGTGAACAGAATATGTCGTCATGTATATAAATGTATAAAATCCTACGTACCTATATGACCAACATCAGAAAGACTCCGACCAAAAATGCCAAGTTCATTAGTTGAACTTCGAGGCGAATAACTGACGATTCGTTGAGCTGCATTGGAGGTGCCCCGAATTCATGGAGAGCCATTTTTATATCCGATAAATTATTTAACACTATTTGTATGAACACTTTGMGAAAATTTGTATAACACTGAGTAAAAATTGTACTATAACAGTTGTTATCTATAATATAAAAATGAATCGCAAAATGTGTTGGTAAGCGCATAACTTAACAACGCCTGGACCAATTTGGCCAATTATTTTTTTTAATGTTCGTTGAAGTCGTTGATGGTTTTTACAGCGAGAAAAATTCGAATAATTGCTGGGAAGACCCTAAAAACAGCTCTTTTCTTTTTAAAACAGCCCTTACTATAATATGGATAATATAATATTGATCGTCTCCATGGTAATGTAATCACTGATCAAGAACATCATCTACGGTGGTCGATTATTTGTGAGCTCTCTGTTAATGAACGATTAAAATTATAATGATTTGGTAGATGAACAATTTACAATGCCATTTCATTTTTTATTCATTATTCGGGTATGTATATTATTTAAAGACGTACATTTTTACTAAAAAAGTTGAAAATTGAAACATCAACAAACTGTCAATATGTCGTAAGTGTTGTTTTTCTTRGATTTTCTGTTACCTACTCTACTGARTTTGCTTTTGTCAACTGATACACGAATTAAATTCGTATATCRTRTTTTGTGCRGAGTGTTAAGTTACCTATGATCACTAATTATTGCATGTGACACAATAATTTATATTTGATATGCCTCCTATACGACGAAGCAATTTAGGTAGAAAAACCCGAAATGCTACAAACCAAGGTAATTACCGATCTAATCAAAGTGAACAAGAACGTGACAACCAAAATGAACGTGAAAAATTTCGAATATTCACCCACTTTATCAAAGACCTTCAAAGTACACTTCAACGTTGAATCTTACYATTCTGTGAAATCTATTAAATACATTTGCATACTATGTAACCAAAGGGAGTGATATGGCTGTGATTGGAATTGGTGCAGAGAATTCCAATGATGAAGTTACCCAATACCAAATGTGAAATGGGCCGCTATGTTAGTAGTAATGAAGCAGTTTGGCGAATATTTTCTTTTCCTATTCATGAGAGACACCCTTCTGTTGTACACTTAGCTGTGCATTTAGAAAATAGACAAAGAGTGTATTTTACAACACAGAACGCAGTACAAAGAGCTGCTCAGCCACCTTCTACTAGGTACATTAACCATATTTTCTTTGAGACATGCCAAAACGATGATTTGCACAAACATTGCTATATTTTGAAATGCCAAAATATCATACTTGGAATCAATCTTCAAGGAGATTTATACGAAGTGCACAGGATCAGCTATTAATAATATAAAAGGTACACGCTAATAAAAAAACTATGGTTTCTAATGCAGGCCAATATTTGTTTATGTTAATATGAAAATATTACAAGCCAATAATGCATTTTGATAGAACACCATTTATAATATATGTATGAATTTATTTCATTTTAGATTCATTTTGTATTGATTTTACATTTTTACCATAATGTGTTTTTTTTGTGTCTTTCATCACGTTTTGGAGCAGTAAAAGTGCTTCGAKTTTTGACTTCAGTACCTCGTTCGATCAAAAAGTGAATCTAGTTGGTACTTTGAGGGGGTCAAAAGGAAAAAAATTCTTAATATTTTTCTAAATAATGGGGATAAACAAACTAAAAATTAAGGGAAAAACGGGAAATTTTACGCACAATCAGTTTTCGACAAAATCGATTTTGGTTTTTTGATGTAGCTTTTAAACAAATGACCATAGATACATGAAATTTTCACCAAATGTTCATATAAGTATATAAGCAATTTTCAAAACATTTTGAGTTGAACTATTTATAGGCATATGCAATTTTCGGTCATTATTATTTTTTTWAAATTAATATGCATAACAATTTATTTGTTGGGTGGAAAAGCTTGAAAATTTAATTCAAGGCTCCTAACATATTGTTAAAATAGGAGTTGAAAAATAAAATAAATTCATCGTCACAATTTTTTTTTTATAAACATTAAAAGTTTGAATTTTGTAAAATACGTAAAAATCACAAGAATTCGCAAATTATTCTAAGCTAGATAAAAATTTTCTTTTTAAATCTAAGATTTGAAAATTTAATACAAGGCTCCTTATAAGTTTTTCAATCTTTATCACAAAAAAAAATGTCCACCAGAAAGTCAAAT